ATTTCATTGAATGTTCTACAAAACAAAAAGTAAATACGGAATAATAAGCAATAACAAATAWATAAAATTCACAGGAAAAAATTTTGCTACCTAAATAAAAAATAAAATGATTTAAAATGTTGTTAAATATTGTAGAATGTTCTGGAATAAAACAAATATTGATGCCTAATAAAAAATTATCAACAAATATTAATTAATTATTTAATAATAATGATCAATAATCAGTAGTGACACAACAAAATAACTTAAAAACGTTTTTTATATTTAAATTAGAAATGGAACGTTCTACAATGTTTTCGAATATAATGCTGTATGAGAAAACAAATAATCAAGATCAATAATAAACTATACCAATAAAATTGACCTAAAAAATAGAAATTTTATACTTATATTAAAAAAAAACGTTTTAGAATGTTTTCGAATATTTTAGAAAATTCTAAAAAAAAACGATTATTAATGACCATTAATCAATAATAACAAAACCAAAATTTAAAAATAAAACGCTTTTCTTACCTAAATTAAAAATAGAAGACGTTCTAGAATGTTCCAGAATATTCTAGAATATGTTAGAATGTTCTAGAAAAAACAATTATTAATGACTAAGAATTAATAATGACATAAAAATTAATAAAGAAACGGTTTTCTGATCTAAATTATTAATAGAATGTTCTAGAATGTTCTCGAAAATTTTAGAATTTTCTACAAAAAACAATTATTAATGATCAAGAATAGATAATAAGAAAACAGTTAGTAAACAAACGGTATTTATATCTAAATTAGAAATAGAACCTTCTAGAATGTTCTAGAATATATGAGAATGTTTTACATATGCCTATTTTGAATCATTAAACAATAGACTATGCAACCAACAAAGCATCATTGTAATGTTATTCAATTTTGCCTGAAATTACAAAACATGTATGCAACCAACATTACACCTTATATGCATCACAATTTGTATACCAAATTAAATATGAAACTTTGTCGAATAATATAAAATGTTCTATAGGAAAATCAATGTAAATATGATATAACAAATAAAACATCAAATTTGAATCGTCAATCTTGCTGAAATATTTAAATAGATCATTTAGATAAATATGCAACCAACAATACAGCTCAACTGTATCAATTTTGTAAACTAAATATTTAAATTAAAAAATTATATAATTTCATTGAATGTTCTGCAAAACAAAATGTAAATGCGGAATAATAAACAATAACAAATAAATAAAATTCACAGGAAAAAATTTCGCTACCTAAATAATAAATAAATTGATTTTTAAATTAGAAATAGAACGTTCTAGAATGTTTTCGAATATAATGCTGTATGAGAAAACAAATAATCAAGATCAATAATAAATAATACCAATAAAATTGACCAAACAAAAAG